ATATATATATATATATATAACTTTAGGTGGTAGATAATTAAATATAAATTTTAAATACATTTTATTACTTAAATATTTATACATATTATTGATGAAACCATTAACAACAGTTGCTGTTTTAAACCTAAAATTGAAAGAATTATAAAATATAAAAATGTTAATAATAATATATACCATATTTTGTTAGAAAATCAGTAACCTATATTAATAATATCTCAATTTAAACAAATATATGGTCTTAAGCTGGGGTGTCCAACCTTTTGGGATAGCTAGGCCACATGTCAAGGGCTTGTTTTGCCTATTTTTTTTTTTTATAATTGAACCGTAACAAATAACGAGAAGAAATAATTTTACTACATTACATTTTATTTATAATTACAATGATAAAAGCATTTCTTTATACTTAATACAAATGTTTTTCTATAAATAATAGTAAGACAAGTAAATGTGAAGTTGACTTTTTGTGAAATTAATGAATCAATTAAATTTGTGGCAATCCGAGTTTAATCATCTGATTATCTACATAGATAATTATTGCGTACCCTACATGCTATCGCTATCTGATTACAATAACAATTATGCATTCATGCACTATTAAATCATTTTTATGTTTATTTTGTTTTTAATATGTTTTTAGTTTAACTCTAATTTTAACCATTTTAATGTATACACATTAGTAATATATGGTATCAAAACATGTTTTGAAATTCATGTGGGGACCACATGAAAATATACTGCGAGTTGCCAATTGGACAATCCTAGTCTATAAGCTCGCGAGGGTTTAAACAAAATAAAACACATCCCCATGAAATTTCTTAATCAGTCGGTAAAATATAATGTATTTGCCATTGACTTTGTTTTCTAAAAAATCAGTTATTGACTAAAACCTGGGTATCTTTATCATCACAACTACATCTACTGCTCCAGGACCCCATTGTTTGATATTCTAAAACTATAGGTTTAATATTAATTTTCTTTTGATAAAAATAGGATTTGTGTTATAGGTAAAGCCTGATTACTAAGTAAAGCCAAGTTTTACTCGTTAATCACAGGGTTACTATTCAAACTCAGTAAACTTAAGAGTCAGTAGCGTATTTATAATTTAATATTGGGCAGTGAATTCCTTTCCACCCCATACAGGGTGATTCATTTAAGTGGATTAGTTAATTATCTCGAAAATTATAAAAAAAAATTATCTTTATTTTAATTTTTTAAATTTATAAAATTGTTTCGCCCTTATATTTATTGGTGAGTCCACTATCAACTTTTGATTTTCATTTGGTAATATATTATAAAAATATTATGAATTAATAAAACCATTTTTATTATGAATTTACGTGTTAACATTTTTATTTTTTGTTGATTGGTTTATTATTATATAACTTTTTGATATAGCTCCTCAAAGTATTGGTGGTTGAAGGAGGTGTTATAGTCGGTAAATGTGGCATTGTTTATACTATTTATTCATTTTTAAAGACTAGAAGCTATAACTGATAAATTCAATACCGTTCAACTAGGTAACAATATTGATAACAGTTTTACTTTGTACCTGATTAATTGAATGTCATATTAACCATGTCAATAAGTTAATTAATAATTAGGGTTAAAGTACAATAGTAATCTTTAATTAATTGTTATTTATTTTATTTTGTTACCTTGGATTTAACGATATTGAATTTATCACTAGCTTCTGGTCTTCACAATTATTGGAAAAATACTTTAAAGAACTATATCTCGCAAACCAATCAACAAAAAATAAAAATCTTAACCCGTATATTCATAATAAGAATGGTTTTATTAATCCATGATATTTTTATTATACCTTACCATTTGAAAATCAAAAGTTGATAGTCGTTTCACCAATAAATATAAAGGTGTAAAAATCAAAGTATTAAATGGTTTTAGAAAAACATAAACCTAGAAGTTTAAAAACAAAAAAAAAAGGAAACAAGTTATAACTTTTCGAAATAATTAGTGTACCTACTTAAATGGATCACCTGTATGCCATTCTATTCAGAATATTGAATGTCTTTGAATCTATTTTAACCAGAATTTTACTTTAAACTGTAAATTTGTTTTTTTTTGTTTATTTGTGTTCATTTCCCATAATTATGTATTGTTAATTTCACGTAGAACTAGAATCTTTTTTTTTTAATTATTAGATTTAAAGTTTCACAACATTTTTCATTGACAACTGTCTTTCACTCAAATTAAAATAATACATAAATTAAGAACAATTCAATATATTATATTCTACGCTMAAAACTCAGTAACACTTATCATTACATCTGACACATACATTACAGACAAATAAAAAATAAAAATATTATTGGATCTGAGTAATAATATAACTTATGAGTTATGAGTCATAATTTAATTTTTATAAATACTTTTTAGTAACATGATTTGTAAATCCTAGGATATACAAAATGTAAAAATATATTACAATAAAATCCTAAATAAATTCTTATAATTTTATTTGCTTTTTAATTTTTCTGAGTACTATTAGTAAATCCTAGCTTTACCTAGTGATCAAACTTTGTCAATATCATATATATATTTAAACAGGGGTTACTAATGAATATTATTGGGATTATTATTAATACATTAATAATTTTAAAAGATTTTAGGGATTATTAAAATTAAATGTTCAAAATTTAATTCATATTCAACCAAATAAAGTAAAAGCAAAATCAACAAATTAATGAAAGAAAACTTTATTTGGTTAAAATTAAAAAGTCAATTTCTTATCTACGAGCCTGATAAAATTTTCATACTGGCTGCTATTTAATGACTTCTGTATTAGAAGATATAGAACTATGACCTACATAAATTACAACTCACCAACTTAATTGTTTATTTGTATCATGCATTCTAAAAGAAAATAATTGGTCCAATGTTTAAAGTTGGGTTAATTAATTAAATTTATTTTTGAAGTATGATGGTTGGTAAATATTAATAATATTTTATTTTAACATAATGGAACTGTGTGTAAGCCTAGAACTTGAATGCAAAAGTTGTAAAGTCCTTTTTACATGAAAATAATCGGCAAATGTGAATTCCTACACGAAACCTAGCTGGTAAAAAATATGCATATGTTAATTCCTACACGAATATGAAAATGAGATGTGTAAGTTCTTGCACTACAATATAGTATTATATATAATTATATAGTTCATAAATTAATATTATATGGAACATAGTTTATTTTTTTGTAACAAGTATTAAAATGTATATAAATCAAATAAAAAAGTTGTTTTATAATTATGAAATATATAAAAATGAAATATAATTATTTATCATATTTTTCTTCCGTGCTGAAACACATCTACACATCTCATACATAGAAATTAGGTATGTAATATTTTACCTGCGACTCTAGTGTAGAAACTTCGACCAATAATTTATTATGGTGCCATGAATACTAGTTATTTTTATTTTGCATCAAACCTAGTTCATTAAAGCTAATGAGAAAATAAATGTATTTTGCCATGGTAATTGTTTTACTGACTGAACTCTTTTCAAACCATTATGTACAATACAGTAAACATTAAAAAATGAACTAGATAATACTTACAATTTTGCAGCAAAGATAAATAATTGATGACGATTAGCAAATAACTGTAGGCTTTTTACAGAGTTTGTTTATTAATATATAAAAATAAATAAAATATTAAATTTAATATAATTAATAAATATTGACAACATTTCTATATTCTGATTAGCTGCCAATATTTGGTATTTTATATACTATATACCTATTCTAACATTTCCCCTTGCTATCTGTTTTGTGTGGTGTAGGATCAGGTGTCTGACCTACTAAAATGGAAAGGATATAGCTCAATTGACAAGCAAACGTTTTTGAAATTGCTCATGGAGGCCAGAAAAGGAATAATAAACAAAAACGATGATATCATCAAAGTGGATGAACTGCCGCCATCTAAACAGAAAATTTCTGAAAATGATACTCGTAGGAAAGTTGATCCAGATGAAAATTGACCCCAAGTGTAATGATTTTTAAGAACTAAGGTAAAAGAAATTCTACCGAATTTCAAATTAATAATAACTGTACTTATCTGTATGTTGTTTGATTGTAAATTATTTCTTGTTATTTATTATGTAAAATTTATTCACATTGTAAAATGTGTTATAAATCAAAATTATATAAAGAAAAAAAAAATTAATATCAATAAAAACTGTTATTCATACCAAGCATGAGTTATGCAAATCCGTGCTGACATATGGTATATATATATATTTTTTTTAAAAGGAATTCAGTTTTATTTATGTATCTAAGCAAGTATTCATTAATTTAACAAAAAAAAAAAAAAAAACAAAAAAAATGTTTGACTATTTTTTTTTAGTTCATTATGATTTTTAGTATTTTAAGAAGTATTCTAATATTTGATTTGATTTGCTTATTTCGGCTGATGGCTAGTGACCAATATTAGCCAAGAACACCATTTGTGTGGAATTAACTTAAAGTCAGATACCAAAATTGAACTTCAAATTTCAACAACATTAGTTTGAAACAATTTGTTTATTATGATGCATACGGTGGTATGCATTAAAAGGCCGCGGTAAAAGCATCCATCATAAAAATGTCTTAAACTAAATAACGGTATAAACATGGTTGAAAAAATAKTATATTTCAATCATGGATATAAAGTAAAACTGGTAAAAGTAAAAAACCTTTATTCAAATTAACTAAATTAATAAATAGAATAGAAATACTGATACCTGTGTTATTATATACCAAACAATAACTACTAATGTTCTATTTAGTATGTTATATTAATATATACAATTTAATAAATAATTATCTGGACAAAATAAACAACTCCATAGTATTACCTCTAAGAAGATGCATTGCAAGTGATATTGATCACTAATCACTAGATATATTTTACATAAAGGTATGACCATAATAATTATATTCTTTTGGTCTTTGAACTCTTCTCAACTTTTGAAGGTAAGCAACGATTAGACAATGTTAATTTTAGTTTCTGAGAGATGAATGTTTTGATTTTACAATGATATGTGTAATTATTTTATTCATGTCTGTACACATTTTATATTTGAAGAAATACTTTGATCTTTAACATTGAAGTTGAGTTTAGTTTCTGGTAGGTAAAGAATTTGATCTTGTTGGTACTTTTGGGGAGTCAAAAACAAAATCCCCAGTACTTAAAATTATCAGGGAAAAAAATTTGTAGCTAATTATTCAAACAATTTTTAATTTTGAACAACATGAAATCATCACATTTTTTACAGAAATTAAAAAAAAWATATATAGTGTATAACTATATTACTTTTTTCATGAATGTTTTATGTTAGAATTATGACTGATTTATTCTAAATCACTAATACTCACTAACTAATTTATTATTAATTTGTAGTTAAAAATCTAAAGTATTTTTATTCGTACCCCAAGATTTGAAAATTAAATACAAGRTTCTAGTGCCCCTTCCCTAATATTATTATATTATATATTTGATAAAAATTAAAAGTTACGTGGACTTGTATTCTTATTAGTGAATTGTAAYATTTGAAAAAAAACAAAATGTTGTGATTACAACATAAATTGTCATATTCAGTGTGCCAAACTCATATACCATGTGAAGCGATCTCTTCACTTCTTAAATTGGTGGGTGGATATAGGTGATTACTATGGAGTAGTGAGTAATGGGTTAACRAAGTTAAATCAGGTGTTCTATACATAATTGAGTATCTATATTTTTATATCATATTAGATGGCTGAAAAATTTTAGATTTTGTTTCACATGTTCACAGTTATTTTCCATGCCACTGGTATTGATATTAAAATAATATTAATTTACTTACCTTTATTGATTTATCATATACTGATATACAATAAGGTTTATACATTATTATGTTAAATGTATAGGTACCATACATGTTAACTTAATTATACAATCTTAAAAGAAGTAGATGTGTTTATAACTCTTTATGAACATAGAGGTCATAAATAGATATTCTAGTATTGGAAAATATTTTTCAAA